GACTTTCAAAACCATTGAATCAATGCTAGGTGCTCTTTTCTTTTTGAATATTGGTTGGAACCCCTTTTATTGCTTGTTTTCTTTGAAATGTTTGGGTTCCAACCGGTGATTTTGAAATTGAGACTCCCACCTAACAAAGGTTATTCGGGATCATGAATCTTGACTGGTCATGGCAAGAGCGCTAGTTTTGAGCCTCGTGGTGAGGGAAAACAGTGTAAGGGGGATGGAGGTAGTAAATGAAAGTTAAAAACCTAATCATTTCTCCCCGTACACATCCCTCTATAGAAAACGGCCTAAGATAATTGCCTTTTAACAACATAAACTCAAACACAATGATCGAATGCTACACCGGGGGGCATAAATTTTAAAGCACGAGAGCACCTTTTTCAAAACTTTTGAGAGTTCACAATAGGGCAAATTTCATTCATCATCACACAAATCACATGTTGTAGCCCACTAGTCAACCACATCAACCAACACAATGTAGAAGAGTGGAACCAAGTTAGCAAATGTGGTGCAACTGAGAAGGACTGGAATTCGGACCTATCAAATAGGACCAATTTCTACCAAAAAAAAATAAAAAAATAGGACCAATATTTGTGAGAATAGGAGATAAGAAACAGACACTCCCACATGGGAGATTATTACACAAAAACAATATTCATACTGAAGAAAAAAAACACACACACTCAAACATAAGTAGTTCACGATTATTCAACGTACGGAAAAGAAAAACACAAGACTCATGAGATAGAGAAGAAGGGTCACATTTATCATCATCATCTTCTTCTTCATCATCATCACCATCATCATCATCATCATGCTGTTGGGAAGTGGAGGGTGGGCACCTGAACGGGTGAGATTGATGTCATGGGCGTGAGCGAGCTGTTCCACAATGAAGATGGAGTGCTCATTCCATTGTCCTTGGCGGGACAACTTAGCTTGAACCTCAAGAAGCTAGGCCTCAAGAGATGCAATCCTCACCACTGAGTTGGGCAAGATAGATCGAGCAGGTCTGGTTGGTGCTGAAGGTGAATAAGACGATCCATCAGCTCTCGGCGGTTGGGGCACATTAATCAGATGAGCAAGGTGAAGGCCCTCCATCTTCATCAGCTTCATCCGCATCAAAGTGCCTTCTTAAAAGATTGTGGTGCGATAAACCTTGGTGTAGACGCCGAGGTCAACACCACGGTACCAAGCCAAAGTTGTGATGAGTGGCCCCTGATGCATCATTGAGATTGTCGGAAGTCTCCCAACTATTGCAAAGAAAGTCACCACCACTCTCTCAAGATCAAGATTATCCCTCTGTCGAGACATGGATTGCAGCGTCTTCAACCCTCTCTTTGTTATCTTCCCCTTTTCCTGGTCATTCGCCATGACCGAGTTGCTAAGAAGCATGTTGAGGATGTGCAAATGTGGTCGAATGGTATGGCATTTGTTCTCCCAATAGAAAACTGCTCATCTATCTTCAGCGCCAAGGGACAAAATGTGTCCTGCTCGTGGAAAGCCTCAAGGAGTCGGGGCTCAGAAGACACCGTGAAGTAGGTAATGTTGAGCCCAAGGCCTGGATGAACTGCCGGTAAGTGGTATGGTGGTGAACTTCTCCGAGAGAGAAAGTGAGGAAGGGATCGCTTCGCCTCGACCTCCCCTTGTGGTGGCAAAAACTGGTGTATAACTCGACGCAAAGCTGGCGGTAGGCATCATTGTTGATGCTCAAGAGCCTGATCCATTGCGGGTGGCATAGGGAAGCAACCATCACGCACCCGCATTTGAGCCCCATAAACTGATCTAGATCGAATAGCTAGTGGGGTCTGGCCTCAACATCAAACCACCCCATGAGGTCATCATTGTATTCCTCATCCTCATTAAAATGCCTCAGATACTGGTGGTTCGGGTTGGCCTCCATACCTGCAAGATTGGGCGAACCACACACTATACATCAAAGAATTTGTTCAAACTAAGCACATTGGGAAAGAAGAATGCACTCCCACACTTAATTTGAACTATATGGAACGAGTTGGCATAGTCACTTCACACATCAAAACTCAACATTCAAGGTAAAATAAAGCCAAACCAAAGCAAGGACATGGTACTATGGGTGTAATATATCACATTCACATCAAGAAACCCCCTAGATCATGCCTTGGAACCATTCATTCATCATCCATAACATTGAATGAATACTAGACAAGAATATCAACACTTGGTGGCACAATCTCAAGCTCAACTCAAATTATGCAAATTTGGCCAACCAAGGCATTAATCAATCATACAACACAATCTAGGATATCCAAGCAATCAATTCCATGCCAACATTTGGCCCAATTTGATCAATTACATGAAAATCCCCAAATTCCTCACCTAACAACCCTAAACATCGATATTCCAAAATTGACCATCAAAATCAATGAAAAAGACCTAGAAACCCAACCCTAAACATCGACATTTGGTTACTCATTGGACCGTAGGAGCCGTGTTTTAGTTTTGTCTCAATTGCATCTTTTTTAGAGCCGTCAATCTGAGAATTACTGTTGGTGAAACCGTAATCTTTTTCGTTCTCCATCTGATTGCTGTCATCTATGTGCTTCTTTAGGGTTTCTGACTTTCAGTTATAGCCATGATCCAGAATGGATTAATGTTGTAATCCAGACTTTTTTTTTTTTTTTTTTTTTGCTACTCACATCTGCAGTTACTTACAGAACGTCTTATGTCTGTTGCTGATGTTGATGGAGCTAGAATCAGTCTCAAGCAGTTGACTACTGCAGATCAGATGGCTATCATAGAATCAATGAGGGACATCATCGTTAGGCGTTACACTCGTCAACTTATTCACAAGACATACAAGGTGTTTGATTGAGGAGTTCGCTTCATTATTTAACAGTTGGAGAATTCCTTTTACGCCAGCACTTTCATGTTTCATTTGATTTTGCAAAGTCCTTTAAGCCGTGATCATGTGTTTGGTTCTGCTGGGGTTATAGGCAATCCAATGGCCGTTGCCAGGAGTTTAGGACTTGGTGTCGGAGATTTCCTCTCTGTTCCTGCCAAAAGTGCTCTCCAGGTGCATCAGCTCTTCTTGTTCATTGCTCTGTTATCCTACCAGAATCTTGCTTCCAACCTGACTACTGATTGATATGAGCTGTTCCCTCTTCTTACAGAGCCCCACTGGGCTTGTAACAGGCATGGCAGGTAGTCTGGTGAGTAACACCGTGCATGCTCGAAGTGATGCTGCCACACAGTTTAGTAAAGCTGCACCCAAAGTAGAGAGTAGAGACAGTTTCTTTCTTACAGTTGATCGAATATTTCAGTTTGAAAGTCACAAATCCTCTCTGTACAGGGCATTGTTGCATTTACCTTTGACGGCCAAGCTGTTGCGAGGCTGGAAAAGCAACAGAAAGGTGCACCTTTGCAGAGTAAAGGTGTGATAAGTTAAGTCCTTGAGGTACATTTTCCTCCCAGAGTTTCTCAACATGTCATGCACTGGGAATCACAGGACTCTGGCTATACCATTACCAGCAGCTAGACATCTCGAGGTCACAGGAAAGACAGCAGCAGCATAAGAAATCGAAGCCGACTCATATATCAACGCTACAGAGTCCGCTCACTGATTGGAAGAAGCCGGTGGGATAAGTTCTCTCATGTGCTGCTGACGATTCCATGAAACTCAAGGAGCAGGTGTTTGTAATGTGCAGACCACTTAGAGAAGCTGCTAAAAATGTGCCGTTCTCACTGAGAGACGGGTGCCAAAAGTCTACTCTACCAACTTTGGGAACCCAAAACTTCCGAGGGGTAAATAATGGAAGGACAGGTTATATTGTTGTTTCTACTGAGGTGTGTTTTATGATACCTGCAGTTATTCAAACCTCCCCTTCTCCTCACTCTGTGCTTGGTTAGAGAAGTGAACTCAACCTTTCTTCACACATTGGCTATGTTTACCACCGTTCAATTCATTTTCTTTTTCATGCTGGTTCTTACTGTTTCTGTATTTTTGCCTTGTTCTGTAGATGTATTTTGCCGCGGATTATAGCACCAAGTCAGAGAGGGCCTTGCTCTTAGGGGTGTCAATTCGGGTTCGGTTTTTCGGGTTTACCCGAAACCGACCCGATTATATACAGTTTTGGTTTTTCGGGTTCGGGTTCATTTCGGGTTTTCGGTATCGGGTTCGGTTTTGCTTATCGGTTTTTCGGGTTCCGGCTAAAAACCTCCAATGAATAGAACTCATCCCGTATTTTTAGGCGTTCGGGTTTTCGGGTTTCGGTTTTCCTTTAACCGAACCCGATAAGGAATTTTCGGGTTTCGGGTAACCGGAACCCGTAAGTCCTTATCGGGTTCGGGTTCAGTTTTAGTGATTTTCGATTTCGGGTTTTTTCGGGTTTCGGTTTGGGTAACCGAACCCGACCCGAACCGACACCCCTACTTGCTCTGTACAGGTATTTTGCCTTGGTTGGGAAGTCAATACTGTGAAGTGTGGACTATGTGGATTATAAAGCTAGCTTTTTCATTTTTACGGAAGCGTGGAAGTAATGTTATGAGAAACCACGTCATGCAAGCACGAAGCAGCGGAAACATGGAGGTTGTTACTCCCATTAGTCATTACTCATCATTACTACTTACTAATATCAGGTCTGCAAATGCACACATCGGAGACATTTGATCCGAGCAAAAAGAAAGAACACTTGATCTCGCTCTTTATACACGCTTTGGAGGAACGTAAAGCACGCGCTCTTCTTGACATAACATCTGCAAGAATCACCCAAGAAAAAGACAGTGAATGGTTATTTCCCGAAACTTATTTGTTGAGAACGCTACAAGCAAGCTTTAACTGGGAACCTAGACATCTACAGAAGAAGAGACCATTAGCAGAACGAAAACAAACTAGTCTCGACCATTAAAATTGGCTTCGAATACAGCAAAACGTCCCACTGAGTTTTTAATTTGCATCAACGCACGCTACATGAAATGATTCTGACCTGCAAATCCTCTGACAGCTGCTCTGAAACTGCAAGGGTGTAACAACCGGGGACGAATTTCCCTGGAAACAGTTCAACCATAATGCATGTAAGCAAAATGAACAATCTAGGGGAGAACATCAAACCCCAACTCTTACAAGAAGGCAGATAAACATCCAAACTAAGTGAAAGAAACAACTATGTTTGACAAAATGACACTAGACATATGCATCAACAATTTCGTGATACGCGGTGGGTGTAAAAATCCGCCGAAAGCACCAGCAGAAACTGGATAGCCCGAATGAGCTCAAGCACAACAATACAAAGCACAAGCAACACCCTCCCAAATTGAGTTAAGGATGAAAAGAGCAAAGAGACTGAAGATACCAATTCTCAACCATCGAGCCGCCCAGCTTCTTGCGGGATCCATAACAGATATTATACTGCAGCAAAGAAGAAAAATCGTCAAAGAAGAAGGGGAAAAGAAGCTATCGGGAGCACATAACTGACCATAATACAAACTTATCAATCATTCACTACATTCAAGATCAAGTTGCTTGCGACACTAAATGATAAATATGGAAAGCAAGATGAGACATTGGTATGGCTAATTGAAAGAAGAAAACAAAGGGCGAAATTACCCATTGAAATTGGGAGTGGTGCAATCGACAACGTGCTCATGATCTTCCTCCATCTTGAAAAAGGGGCAGTTCTCGCACCCAGACTCCCTGAACTGCACATTCGAGGAGCGATATCGTCAAAGACAGGATAATCCTGGCCTCTGATTTTTGCAGATTCGACCTAATTCCTACAGCCCTAATACACTAAAGCGAGGGAGAAAGAAAGGGAAAACAGATGAAGAAGGGAAGGAAGAGGGTGACCTGATCGTAAGTCTTGACGAGCCGGCATCGGAGACATGCCCTTAGCTCGTGACCGAAGCTGGTCGGAATCTGGGCCGCCGGTGCCGGATGATTGTGGTTGCTGCCCATAGCTCTTCGCCGTTGTTCCAAATAAACAGTTATGTTTGCGGGTTCCCGATTCTCCGAACCTCAACACCTTATTTAACTCGACGGCTGAACGTCAACATTGTACCTATCACAGGCGAAGTCAGGATTAAGGGTTGGGGGCCAAATTTTAAAAAAAAGAAATTAAAATCAAAATGATGATATAGGAAAAGTTTTAGTATTCATTATTTCATTGTTTCAAAATAAATTAATATCACTGAAACCCCTCAAAATGTAGCACTTCTACATGTTATTAAGTATTGGTGCTTTAAATTACAAATTGAAGTTGTATCATAACGTTAAAAGTACAAATTGAAGTTGTATCATAAAGAAATTTGAGGAAAAAATCCCAAAATACACTAATTTTTAAAAAATTTCCAAAATACGTTAGTTATAAAAAAAATTCCTAAAGTACGCATGTTTGTTCATCACCGTAATGGACCAAAACAGTGAATAAAATCACTGCAATAGACTAAGACAGTGAACACATGATCGTCTTAAAGAATAACGGTGAAACCATGACTGCTATGATAAACAACGGTGAAACTATCACCGTAGGAGAGCAAAACGGTGAAGTTATCACCACGCTGGTTGACAACGGTGAACGTATCACTGTAGTTGTGAAAAGCGGTGATTGTTTACCACGTTTTCCAGCCCTGGTAGGTGGAAAATTAGGTCACGACGACCTAGCATTCACCGCAGTAGTTGACGGCGGTGAGCACTTCACTACTATGGACTCTTGCGGTGATTATTTGACCTGGTTTGCATATAAATAATCATACCTGCCTTAAAAATCAGCCCCATTCCACTCATATTTCTACAAAAATCTCCTTCTCAGCCTACTTCCAGCAACTACGGATACAGAAACTCAAATTTTACGGTATGATATAATTATGTACTGTTTAGATATTGATGTTTTAATAATTATATGTTTGTACTTAATGAATTACGGTTAGTGGCAAATATATTTTGTTAGAGATATTTAGATTACTTATGGTATGATTGATGTTAGTTAGATGAATTTAGATGAATTGGTTTAGTATACTCATGTTATTGTAATGCTAATTATGGTCCATGTTTCAATTAGTTAGTTGCGGTTGTTTCTGACGAAACCATCGATGGCCGACAGGAATGAGTGATTCCTACAAAAACAAAAAAACACGAAGTTGTTAGTCAAAGGAAAGTAAAATAAAAACTTTTAAAATACTGAAATAATTTACAAATTATATGTTTGTACTTAATGAATTACGGTTAGTGGCAAATATATTTTGTTAGAGATATTTAGATTACTTATGGTATGATTGATGTTAGTTAGATGAATTTAGATGAATTGGTTTAGTATACTCATGTTATTGTAATGCTAATTATGGTCCATGTTTCAATTAGTTAGTTGCGGTTGTTTCTGACGAAACCATCGATGGCCGACAGGAATGAGTGATTCCTACAAAAACAAAAAAACACGAAGTTGTTAGTCAAAGGAAAGTAAAATAAAAACTTTTAAAATACTGAAATAATTTACAAATTTATACTGTAAGGAGTGTCTACCGGATTGTTGTGCCAAATTGCACGAGAGTGATGTGTTTTTTGCTCGGTTAAATACCTCATATCACTTGGGCCAGGATGGATATACAATCGAGGGTCGTATATCTCGGCACCCATCTATAAAAAATTGAATGAAATCAGATTATTTCATACCTACCCATTAAAAAAATATCACGAAAGGAAAAGAAAGTACGTACCCTCAGAGCCTCTTCGTCCATCTTTTGGCGAAAGCTGGACAGAGTAACGGCGGGTTTTTAGAGTGGAGGATTGTAAAAAAAAACTCTAGTAATTCTTTCTGATGCGAAAGATCAGACTTAGAACGAAACTAGAGTTAAGGAATGGAGGGAAAAAGAAGAATTGTGTGGTGTGGTTTGAAATGAGGGGGGAGTAGTGGTATTTATAGAATGAGAACCTACTGGAGAGAGAGACATGGAAATCAACGCAACCGTCGATGGCAGTCAAGGCCTCGCAACCATCGATTGCATTTAATTCATCGTCTTCCTTTATAGCGGTGATTGGCGCAGATCGTTGACGTGGGACGCTGTGAGGCGTTGGATCTAGGAGGAAAACCAAAATCCGCGCCTCACTGCATCCTACGACTGCGGCGAAGTGGTGGGGGCGCGGATTGATGACGTGGATGGCAGTCAAAAATCACCGCAAGAGCCATTGCGGTTAATAGGTTCACTGTCTTAGTCCAGCGTGGTGATTGGTTCACCGTTTTGATGCAATGCAGTTATTATTTCACTACTTTTAATAAAAACGGTGATATATTCATTGTCTTTGTCTATTGTGGTGATTTATTTTACTGTCTTGGACCATTGCGGTGATTAATTTTACTGTCCCTTACTCTTCTAGACTAGCATCCATTTTGCGTTGTAATTTGTTGGCACATAGGGATTTGGAAATGTTGTTAGTGCTACTATTCGATGCAACCGTAGGGTTGGGCGTTGGCATGGAGCAATATGGTGTATGTTGCTTACGTTTGTGTGGAAATAAAGATGTGGTATTGTTCATGGAGTTGCATGGCGTGACCCAAAGAAACTCACTGAGATGTTGCAGGTTGAGCTGCGATACATGTTTGCTGGAAATGATCTTATGCAAGCTAAGTTAGAAGAATTTGGCTACTTATAGATAGTCTAGTTACTGATAGTTACGCTCTCTCTTTTCTTTTGTATCTTGGGTTTTTACTATAACCAGATGGTATAGAAAAGGAGGTAGGGTGGATAGAGAAGAGTTGTACTACATAGACTCCTAGAGACTCTATCTCGTTGTATCGGTTCCTTTCATTTGAACAATACAATTGACTAATTCAACGAGGTGAAAATATACCAGACCGTTTGAAAAACTATGGACTAAATCGAATCGCAAAGTTTGGTTCAGATTGTAGACCGTTAAGAATGGTCGGTCTAGTCCATGGTCTGTATTTTATGATGATTTGATATTTTCGTCTGGTCTGGTCTAGGCCACGGTTTATCGGAGCAAGCTGTGGACCAAGCCTACTTCCCAATACGTGTTAGCAGCCTACTCAACGACTCTCCTTAGTCCCCCAATGAGAGCCAAGTCTCAACCCTAATTTTGAGAATCTCGTCCCCTCCTTCATTTGCAATGACATTTCACTAGACAGTAGAGGCGATCATGTCTTTTTTCCCCGTTGAATAAGACGATCATATCTCCATATAACATTATGTTAATGTTTATGACGTGATGGTGCAAGTTGGGATGCTATGACTTTGTATATTTACTAAGATTTAGTGTGTCAAAATCATTCATGCATATTGGAATTTAAGTTTTAAGGCAAAAAAATAATTTTTTCTCGATTATTGGTTCAGTTTTTCATATGGTTGACTAAACAAATTGTTCATTTTGGTTCAATCTGGTCTATTCGGACCAGACCGTACAGGAGTGGTCTGGTATGGACTGTATAGTATGTGGTATGGTATCTGGTCTATACTCCAGCCTCTTGGTCTATACTCCAGCCTCTTGGTCTGGATTGTAGGCCGTATATATGGTTCGGTCTGGTGCAGACCGTCCCGTTTTCCAGCCCTACATAGGACCAGGTGTTTGGAACCCTCAAATTTGAATTGTTTTGGTTATATCATCAAGGTCCAAACACATTCTCTCTAAGCCTATCAAACACCACAAAACTTCATCATCTCCAGTAACATATGGTTCTGGAGAAGGATAGCAAGCAAAACTTGGAGTGATCTTCGCTAGAGGGATCTATATCTTCTCCATAATTGCATGAAGGCACTCCATAATGTGTTGCCTCGCTTCCTTCTCCCTCTTTTGACTCTTCAGAATTTTTGCTACCAAAGCTTGAGTATGGGAGTCTCTTGCTTAATTTATCGTTGAAGTTGTCGGTTGGTAGGTTGGTTGTTGTGTCGAAACCTCCTCTTGCATGTCGCCTTTCTTTTCCTCCCTCGTCATCCATGCCCATTGCTCTTCTTGCTGCTTGTCGAGCGGTCTTCACTGGGAGGCGGAATACCGTACCTTCCATGTCTAAGGTGTTGGTGATAGGAAATGGAAGGCTTTGGAATCCCCATATATCATCCTCGCTTAGGTGTAGAACCTTGATATGCGACTTCAGAGTGTCGGAAGAAATAAGAATGGTCCTATTATCCAATTGGAACTTCACATCCCAGAAGTCGACTCCGAAGTATCAGGCAAGATGAGTAATAATGCTCCTCCATGCAATGCAGCTAGTTGATTATTTGTTTCATATCTTTTCAACGTGTACAGGCTTCCTAGACCGAGGTGTAGAGGTTAAGGACTATGCATGATATAGAGGAAGGTGACATCTTGGGCAGTTAGTTTGACCTTGCTTTTGTACGTCCCACCCACGGATCTTGCGAGCATGTGGTGGATCAACCTCCATTTGGGCTTCACTTCACTAGCCTTTGGACAACTTGACATCCCATTGTCGTTTACCGGGCACCTCGACTTCAGATTCATAGAATGCTTTGAAGCTTGAAAAATCACTTTCTCTTGTCAAGGTGGATAAGTCATCATCGAAATCCACAAAGTCTACAGGATAGATATCGAATGCCCTTGTGAACTCTCAGAAAATCACTTTCTCTTGTCAAGGTAGATCTTATGCACCTGTGAAGTCTTGAATGGTGAGCGTGCTAAGGAACTCCAACACTAGCACTTCATATATCTTCTCCTCTATTCTTACCAACTTCAACCACTATGGTTTGTTGATCTTTCAACGCATGGCTTCCTCAATTCCAAGATGGGCAAAGAGATACCAATTAAGGCATGTGTTCTCGCCAAGGGGAAGGTCTTGGAGCTATAAGAGGTTGGTGTTGAATTGCTCGAGGATTGCATCTAAGAATGCATGGGTAAGATGCTCCATTGCAACTCTTGTTCCTTGATGATCTTCTTGTTGATCTCCATGAGGATGCTTTAAAAGTGGTGGTTGTTGTGGTAGTGGTTCTTCTAAATTCACTTCTCTTTGTCGGGGTTTACTCCTCTTCTTCTTTGAGTTGTAGCAAGTTCTGGGATGATTGGAGCTCTCCATGTGTTGGGAACTCTCTCCTCGGACTAATGTCCTTATGCTTGTTGGAAACCCTAGATTTTGTACAC